TTCTGTGGTTGACGATGATGATGGTGGCGGGGGCTGATGGTGGCGAAGCACCCGGGTAGGACTGTGGGAGCGGTTTCCCTTTTTTTTTTTTTTTTTTTTTGTGTTTTATTTGCCAAATGTTACCAAACAGGCAGCGGCGCGCAGCCCAAACCGGACCTCAGCTTTACTATCGCTTCGAATCAAAAAAACAGAAAAAAAAACCCCAAACAAACTCGAGCCCTCGTTGTGCAAAAGCAATCTCAGGAACGGCTCTGGGCCACCTACCGCGAAGGTTGTCACCGGCCGGGGTAGCTCCCGGGGGGCCACGGGCTCTTCTGAAAATCTGCGGCGGTGCGCGAGGCGAGAACAGAAACGCAGATTTAAAAAAGAAAGAAAGAAAAAAGGCACTGGCGATGTATCCAAGGTAGATGTCCACGTGTGAAGCATATGGTGAATAATTCACAATCTCTCATCTTTCCTCCACAGTCGCTTGTTTTTTGGTCATTCCACTGCAAAGAAAAAAAAAATTAAAATAAGAATTAAAAAGAGCATTTTTCCTCAAGGGGAAAAGAGAGCGAGCGAGGGAGAGAGAGAGGGAAACGAACAGTTATGGAAGGAAGGAAGCAAGCTGGGAAGGGAAGAGCGAAAGGAAGAGATGTGTCTGAACGCCCGGAGGAGCGAAGGAATGCTGCTATAACAGATCTCTGAGAGTTTACCTTTACTTGCTGTTCGAAGGCATCTTTCCGAATTCACTGCCTTTATTTTTTCCTCCTCTTTGTTTTAGGTGTCACACATATCAGTAAAATACCTGAATATCCAACCGTAGAGATCACAAAAAGGGGGCTTAAATGTAAACCTAAAGAAAAAAAACCAACAAAAAACCAACAGCAAAACGATTTTGAAAAAGAGCCTTGATTTTAAAAGAGAAGAAAAATGTAATTTAAACAAAAGTTTATTATAAAGTCGATTCAGCAAAAAAAAAATAACAAAAAAAGATTTGCTAAGGTACTGGGATGATTTCCACGCCTGCACCCTCACAGCGCTCACGGATTGCCAGGAAGGAGCGACAGACCTCTGGGAGAAACTGAGACGGGAATCCAAAAACCTCGATTTCCAAGGCAGCTTATTCGAACTGTGCGGGGGCGGCAGCGGCGCGGCCCCCTCCCTCCTCCCGCCGGCTCTAGGGAAACGAACAGTTATGGAAGGAAGGAAGCAAGCTGGGAAGGGAAGAGCGAAAGGAAGAGATGTGTCTGAACGCCCGGAGGAGCGAAGGAATGCTGCTATAACAGATCTCTGAGAGTTTACCTTTACTTGCTGTTCGAAGGCATCTTTCCGAATTCACTGCCTTTATTTTTTCCTCCTCTTTGTTTTAGGTGTCACACATATCAGTAAAATACCTGAATATCCAACCGTAGAGATCACAAAAAGGGGGCTTAAATGTAAACCTAAAGAAAAAAAACCAACAAAAAACCAACAGCAAAACGATTTTGAAAAAGAGCCTTGATTTTAAAAGAGAAGAAAAATGTAATTTAAACAAAAGTTTATTATAAAGTCGATTCAGCAAAAAAAAAATAACAAAAAAAGATTTGCTACAAAGTATAGACAGAAGTATAAAAATAAAAATTATTGTTTGAAATGAGGGTGTCGTCCTTTTTGCAAAATATGCCGAGAGTATCTGGAAAAGGGCAGAGCTTTTAAGGCAAGGAAGGCGAAACCCCGAACCGCTCCCTTGCTGAACACGGCCATTTCAGTTCAAACCGGGACAGGGCGGCTGAATTGGTTCGCCCCAGCCTCTCAGCCTTCCTTTTTTCCTTTTTTCCTTTTTTTTCCTTTTTTTTTCCTTTTTTCCTTTTTTCTTTTTTTTCTTTTTTTTTCTTTTTTTTTCTTTTTTTTTCTTTTTTTTTCTTTTTTTTTCTTTTTTTTTAAAGTTTGAGTGTAATGGCACTATGCATGCAATCTCACTGGTAAAAATACAACAGGGCGTGCATACACATTGAGACCAAA